CCCCCCCCCCCACCCACCCACCCAACCCCAACAAGTCGAAGCCCAAGAGCACCGCTTGGAACCAAGGGTCCTTGGCCAAAGCTTCGAGATAGACTGCTTGATCAGCCTCCCGACCTGGAGAATCTCCGCTCTCTCTCGAGAAGTCGCCGCGGTTCGGGCTTTGGTTCTCCCAACACCGACACAACGCCCCCTTTGCATCCTCTTGCTGCGAATCTGCAGGGACCCCTGAGGCATAAAAAGACTTGATCTACCCTCGTTGCAAGAGGAAGCTTGCAAACAACATGAACTCGACAAATCATTGGTGTCACTGACCAATGACAAGTGGAGTTGTCCTTCATTTGTTTCGGGCCTTGAATGACAGTTCAAACATTCACCGCCTAATTAAGGCGAACCTGAAAGCCGTCTCCAGCATAAAGACACAGAAGCTCAGGGCGCTTCAGGTTTCGGGCGTTTGGGGCTTCAGGGTTTATTCTCAGCGCGTGGGTCGTAAGGTTTCGGGCTTATTATCGGGTCTGGGATCTGAGGCCTTACATACAAGTAGGGCATGTTAAGGAATGAGCATGATCCTGAGATGCATTGGCCATGGTTTAGAAGCACGGGGGCCGTCCTTCCAACTCCAGCCACTTGGCAAAGAGCGCCGTGATCTTCTTCCGATCCGCCTCAGAGAACAGGACCCAAGATCGGCCTCACTTGGGACTGAGTCCTTAGAGGATGCTGCAAGCTACTTCAACTCCAACTCACAGCACCCCGGAACACCGTGTGCTCAGAAAAGCACATGTCATCGCTGCCTGCACCTTCAAGCCCCAAATCAGCACGACTCGCCTTAAACCGTGTGAGCTCGAAGTGAGTGTCCAGGAAGCACAAGAAGTCGTCATCCTCTACACCTTTGGGAGCGGCCCAGTGCTTTTTGAAGTCGTTTCGCGAAGCTGCATAGACTTCCCCTGCCCGCCCATCCTGGCCTGATAGAGCGGACTGAATCTGCGCCTGAGGCAACTTCAAGTAAGCAAAGGGTCGAGTACACAGCCCGCAGAGGCAGAGGGGGGGGGGATTTGATGCGGAGGCAGCTTTGGGTTTTTGAATGGAGAATTGAACCCATGAATGGAGCGGGACGGAAGGCATCAGAAAACCAGACCCACCTGACCGAGGAGGTCCGAACCAAACTTCTGCAAAGCATTTTTTTGGCAGAAAACATCTGAACCCCCTCAGCTGCCGACCCTACGGCTTACCCTAAACATCCCTAAACTCTACCGATAAGCCCAAAAACCACTGGGCGACATGCTCGTGTCAAAATAACCCTGCCGGTGCCCGAGACCTCAACACTGAAGACCAGAACCAGCCGGCCCGTTGTGGCCACCTGGGTAGAAATGACAAACTTTCGGTGCTTGCACTTTTGACAACCGAATTGGTGGGAAACGAGATCCAGCCAAACGTTTCGTCGGTTCGTGTGTGTAGCTTTGCATTCAAGAACCCAGCATGTCATAATGGAGGGGCAAGAGTCTCAAATGAGGCTTCGGATGCAACATGCAGTCACAAAGCTCTGTGACCTCTCCAGAGCCAATGCCTCTTGAACAGCTTACCACACCAAGTACACACCGCACCAAGTAAACAATGAAGCAAACAAAGCGCATGTCCAAGGTATGTATGTATGCATGCATGCATGCATGCACGCATGTAGGCATGAAGGCATATTCTATCTTCGCCATCCTGGCATCAAAGACCACGCCACCGATTGCTGACACGTTCCAGCAGGTCTCCACTGCAGGCTAAGGCACTTGCCAAAGGCCCCTCTCTTTCCTTGGCTTGTACCGCACGTCTCCCACAGCTTTCCCGAAAGGCTTGTTGATAGTGGCCTCTCCGGCCATACCTCCACCTCCGGATGCCGCTGTGAAGCCCGTCAGGATCAAGACAACCGAACGTCTTGTTGCCTACGTCAGCCTCCGAAGTTAATCCCTGAACCAAACCCGCATAAGCCGCTGTCAGGACGGGGCACAAGCGCCCACACTCTGCAGAAGCGGAGCAGAACTTTTGAAACACTCAGACTTTTGAAGCCCCGGTGGGGTGGCTACAGTTGCAATTATTCACGTTCGTTGAGGGGCTGCAACGAACCTGTCTGTCCGGAGCAGCACTTGCAGCCCAGGATACTCAGGGACATATATAGACGAGAAAGCGGGTTGAAAGTGTGAATAGATTCCGCGCGTAAGCTACTGGAGCGTGATCCCGGAAGCTACGGCCGACATGAACAAATTGCTCAAAGGCTCGCGGCATGCTGGTACGGGAATGAACTCTCCACGATCTCGAAGGCCTTCCGTGCCAACAGTGCAAAGGCTGGTGCCCGGCTGCGTGGAGTGTTGAGATGACAACCGCAAAAACCTAAGGCCTAAGGGTACCTGAAAGCAAAGCTTCCTTTCACGAGGCTCTCGCGCCTTCTCCAACGGGATCTTGCACCTTTCCGCTGTCTTGTAGAGAATTCGTAGGAGGCTCCGGCAATAGGGCCGGCTCAAGTCCAACACATACCTGCAATCGATCGTGGGCAAAGCAGTTTTAGCACTCACACTCGGACAAGTCTGGGCGAGGTTCCTGGTACGGGGCAAAGCCATCTGAGGTCGTGGAGAAGGCAGGGCGTGGACTGTTGCAGAGGAAAGTACTGGCCAAAACGAGGGGCAGTCGACATGCTGAACAACGCAGTCAAGCCATGAAGGAGCAACCACCTAGGCTATCGTGGCACTCGGGGAGCATTCGCAGGTCTCCGTTAGCGCAAGGCAGTCAGATAACCCGTGATGCGCCTGCCTCTCTTGTTTCAACCACCCGCTGTACGTGGGGGCACACCCCTGGACCGTAAACCCGCACATACGGACTTCCAAGCGCTGGCGAAGCTCCGGCTTCCCGGGTTCGTGAAGGAGTAGACTTGGCAACCTCCAGGAGTTGTCTGGCGTTGCTACACGGCTTCAGAAGCTCGGAGTAGGCTCAGTAATACTCAATACGGGGTATGTAGAGTCTATGTGGAGCTGAATATTTTGGATTGAGGGAAATGTCCGGATCTCAATCGTGAAGTCCAGGGCCTCAAGTTCATGAAGTTCAGGTTCAGTTTTTCATGGGCTCTCGCCTTGCTGAGCTCAGGTACACACCCCCATGTCTGAAAACATCCTCGGTGGATCGACTCCTCCAGAGTCTCGAATTGGCCACGGCCATCAGACCCAGACCCAGTGAAAAAAGCCTACCTTCACCATTCTACATTGCAGCTAAGAAGGCCTTCTGCCTCTCCACTCGTGCACGATAGATATGCTAGTTTCTAGCGATCCTACACTGACGGGACTGAAATATATCTTTGACACGACTCATGTGCATTCAAGTGATACAAACACTTTGAAAAGCGATGGTATCCTTAACATAGATACCCCGAAGGAGTAAAGAGGAGCCCCCCAAAAAAACATAAGAACCTCCAAAATCCAACCAACCTAGCGTGCACGCGGCTTTTCTTCAAGCTTCGCCTCCTCGGTATTGTTCTGACAGCGACCTTCGTCGCGCATCAAAGCTGTGTGAGAGACGCATTCTCCGTAAACCATGACTGGGGATTGTCGGGCTTTTAGGGCGGAACCTTAACCCTACCCCCCACCCTCAGCAGCCTGTTTCGCAGGCACTGGGGCTTCGTTTAGGCCCGGCTCAAACGACCAAGGCTGCCGGCTTTTCCTTCACGATGCAAGCCTTCTTGTCTTCACCGGCGCCAAAGTTGTGATCCACCTTCTGCTCGCTTGTCTCAAAGTCATGCTTGACGGTCACGCATCCATCCTCCTTCCCGCCACAGTACAGGTTCCTGATGTTGCAGTAGTTGGTCGAGAAGTCTCCAATGGAGAAACCCTGGGACTCGGAGCAGGCGTGGATGCCGCAGCTAGGCTTTGTGCCATCGAAGTCGGAGAAGGTGAAGGTGATCTTGTCTGTGAACTTCTTGTTGCCGGTGATGCGTTGAATGTCCAACTCGCCCGTGCTCTCGGAGAGGAGGCTGTAGGTGCCTTTGTTGTGGGGATCAACCCACGGGCCTTCCACACGTGCCTTAATCTCCTCGATCACATCAGCACAGCTGGCATCTGCCATGGCTTCCACCTCCGCCCAAGCATGGATCCAGCTGCCGGAACCGGGGCACTTCATAGCACCCGCTGCCGTGGCCAAGAGCGCAAGGACAACGCGAGGAGCCATGTCTGGAGGCTGCAAACTGCGTGGTAGCAATGGAGTTTGCCGCTGGACCTTCAAATGCTTGAGCCGGAACCATGAGGATATGAGGCTTCTTCAGGGTTTGGACTCTTGAGCCTTGAGCCCATCGATGCCTCATTCTTGGTGCCATGGGTGCCTTGGGATTCAGCACGCAGAGGTCCAGCAATCCACCCAACCAATGAAGCAATCCCACAAGAGTCTAACCTGCAACCTTCTCTGCTCCCGCGGGCCTGCTGATGGGTTTGAGTTAGGGCAATGATACATTCATTACATGTTTCATCTTATGCTCTGTTGCTTGAGAACATAGGCCTCTGGAGGTGTATTGAGATTGCTGTGGCCGGCATGGATGACACACTAGGGAGGCCGATCCGAAAACACGCAAGGCCTGACTAGACGTGATGCTCTGCGGTCTGGTCATGTGCCCAACCGTCCAAGCGCCCAGTGTAGCCCACAAAATCGATTCTTGGAACACGAAGACAAGAACTTAGGATCTAGAATCTAGACTCTAGACCCTGCCGCAGCCCAACCCATGATCCACAGAATAACAAGTAACAAGTTCACACTATCAACCTGAGAACGCAACAGACGAGTTACTATGGTGCACGTCCGTGCACGTGTATCAAAAGCGAGATGCAAGCGCGACTGCCAAAGGAGAAGTTGCCTTGTGAACTGTCGGCGTCGATCATTGCCGTTATGCCCTGGTAGCCTCGGGCTTGAAGCTCTTTGGGGATTCTAAGGGCCCCATTTGCTGGGGGTTGTGTTATTTAGACGATGCGACGACTGTGCCATCACATGCCATAGCCAGCAAGAGGCGCACGCGCTTCTCCGATGCACTGGGCCGAAGAAGCACATAAAGAGAGAGAGAGAGAGGGAGAGAGAGAGAGAGAGAGCCGGAGTTGCAGGATCTTTCGTCTCCAAATTGGGACCCTCAACAAATTCTGAGCCAAGATGCAGCCTTCGGAACGGAAGTGGCTCAATGTGTTCCTCGGAGGGGCACTCGCCGTCTGAGGAAAACAGCACTGCTTCGCCGCCGGGCATGGGCAGTTTAATTTTTGGCCTCCCACCTAGCTACCACCAAGCCCGCATTGCAGGCTACAGTCGAAAGCGATGTGTAAACAACCATCGACTGAAACAAGGCAACTTTTCAAGCACGGGCGGTTAGGTTTCGACTCTCACACTCGCACCAGGCAGGCAAGGCTCCACACAGTTCCGTCACGCTAGGGAAGCCCGAGCACTTACCGCATCAAACCAGAACCATCTAAACCATGACCAACCCTGGGTCCCGGCTCAGGGCTTCAGTTGCCAGTGACGGCGTTGCTTCACTCGACTCCTTTAAACTACGCAAGCCATCGCAAGCCCATCGACCGCATTGTCGTCGGCCTTGCCGGGCTCAGTTCCACGAAAATGTGTATCTGTGCTTGAAACTAGGATGCGCTTCATGCCGAGCGTAGGACAGGCTTTGCAACGTCTGCCTTCATTTCTGTCTGGAACTTACGCAAGTGAAGCTTTGGAATAGACATGCATGAAGCACAAAGGCTAAGCTGGGCGGGTGCCAGCAGTGTGGTGCCGTGCGAGATTTTCGCAAGTGCTGACGACTCTGCTGTATCTCGCACGGCACAACGTCAGAACTATTTACACAGCGCCTGCCGTCCCGGAAGATGCTGAATGCTTCCATGGAGTATCCTTACCCCGTATCAGAACATCCGTTAGCTGTGTCTAGCTTGCGGTGTACGTGTACAAGCTGAGCCTGACTGACGGCACGGGACATCCAGCAGGGACAGCAAGGTACAATGCAATCACAGCTCTATAACGACTGTTACTTCCACCAATTGGTCTCGACCGGTGGCTCCGAACACGTGGAAAATTGCGTCATCAGCATCAGGTAGCTCGACGATGCACTTGCTCTCGGTAAAATGGGAACTTGTGATGCGCATCTCCTCGTTTGAAACTGAGAACCCAAACCGGCATGGCAAACAGCCCTGGTCTTTGGGCTGGGTGTCGCATTTCAGCTGGAAGAAGCCTCTTCCCTCAGCCTTCTTGAAATTCGCTTCGGGATTTGCCGCACTCCAGTCCTTGGGAAAGGCACCAATGAGAAAGCGAAGGAACTGGCCGGTACACGGGTGGTACAACATAAAGCCAGGCGAAATGACTTGCTTGTCATTGCTCTTCAA